ATTCTCCTCCTTGCCTTTGCTCACCTTTTCCTTCGGCTTGGTGCTCCCTTCCATTTTTGGCCGAAAAGCTAGAGCATATTCATCTTTCGAGGCCGGACCCAGCTCAGCAGCCATGTCTTTATGGAAGTTTCTCTGGAGGACCATGGGCCACCTTGACCTACAGAAGCCCTAACATCTAGAAACCTGTGTGTCTGTGCACATGTACCCGTGGGTTCTTGGGATGTAGACATGTCATGACCCTGAGCGTGCACATGCATGTGCATGTGGGTGAAGGTGGCCATGCAGGCATGCCCTGTGGTGCTGTCCCTCCACGGATCCTAACAGGAGAGGATTGGAATGCAGTGATGTATCACGGGATCGAATCGCAAGGTGGAGTCAGCAAAGGCATGTTCTCCTCCTTTTACTTCATTGTCCTGACGCTGTTTGGAAATTGTATCCTTCTTTGGGGCTGGGGTGCAGTGTGGTTAGTGCTTGGTCTGGGCCTGCCTCTCCCTCTTCCCCCAGGAGGACTGGGGGGGGGGCGGTTGTTGGCCACAAATACGAGAGGTACCTTCTCATCAAGTGTGAACGATGTAGCTCCTCCCTCAGGGGAGCTGGTTTAAGTCCAGATGGTGAATATTCTCCAGGCAGCCTGAGCTTGGGGGTTCCGGAGGCTGTGGGGGCTGAGGTCGATGGAAGCATGAGTTGCATGTACGGTACCCAGAGGGAGATGGTATGGTCAGTGGCAGGCTCAGGAGGGTTGCTATGGGAAGACGTGGGCTTTGAACACTGATGGCAGTGGGTTTGGTTTTGTTTCGTTTGCCCACTTTAATTCAGTAATTAAATTTTGGCCCTGGGCTTTTAAAAAACTGTTCCCTGCTGAAAACATCATACCTGCAGAGAAAGATGAAGCAAGGTTTCCTGTAGTGGGTGGCTGTTGGGCTCGTGTTTCAGGACCTTGGGATGGGAGGGTGGGTCTGGGGTCCGGGAAAGCCCAGCAGCTTGGTGGCAGCTCTGCCTTAGGCAGGCCACCTGGGAAGAGGAGGCTGCAGGGCTCATGATGGGGGGAGTGTTGAGGGCCAGGAGAGGTGAGGTGTGAATGTGGCCCCACTGCTCGGGGTGGGGGGGACTTCAGGATAAGCAGGGGCACTTGGGTTCTCACACTCTTTTGTACATCAGAGTCCCCCAAGGGTGGTTATTGCTCAGGTTCCAGCCCACAAATGTGATGCTAACATGCTCCCCTGGGAGTGCTGATGCTGTGGCCTGGGGACCCCCATTTTGAGATCTACTGCAGGAAATAGCCCACAGAGCCTGGAGAAAGATCTGTGAGTGGCCTTCTCACAGACTGACCTACCGGCTTGGCCTTATTTCCCTGCACGCACACCTGAACACATGACCCTGTTTGCCCCTCCTTGCCCCTGCCTTGCAGGCTCTCACGCCAGTTTATGACCTTGTGAGCCTGCAGACCTTGTTCTCTTTGCCAGCATTCGCCCCAGAAGGGCTGCACCATCTGTTTGCCCCGTGTAGTTCAGGGCCTGGACCCCAGGGCAGGGAGCCCCGTCTCTGTGGGGGCCGAGCAGGAGGCCCAGCAAGGAGGAGTCAGGGGCTCAGAGGGGCAGTGTTTGTTCACTGTTTAGCAGGCGGGCGGGACCTGGGGGCTGGCTGACCGGAAACCCAGAAGTGGCAGCCAAGGTTGTCGGAGAGGGAAGGGGCCTGCAGTGTTGACCTCAAATGGTAGGGGTAAGGGTGGGGCATAACTGCTCTCCAGAAGGAGGGGCCGCCCCCCCTCCCCGAGACTGAGTAGTGGCCTGACGCTCATCACAGCTTTCTGACCCTGCACCGTCAGGCCAGGTGTGTCAGTGGTCAGGCCTCGTGCTAGCCAATGGGAATCGTTCCCTCTGCCTCCGTGCCCCTCTCTGGCTGGGCCCTGAGCTCCAGGTGTGGGAAGGCGTTTGAGGGTGCTCATGGCTGTGGTCAGTGCAGGGAAGTGGCCCCCAGCCTCAGTGTCTGTCCTCTGGGCTCTGCTGGAGCCCCGAGCAGCCTTGCCTATGAGGTGGCACCTGGCACGCGGGTCCCCTTGAGTCTCGGAGGCATCTGCCTGCCAGACTGGGTCCTGACCAGCAGCAGCCATTGCTGTTGGCCTCCTGCAAAGCCAGAGTCTACGCAAGCATTGCCCTGGGAGGAATGACTGCCGGGTTGGGGTTAGGGGGGTGAATCCCCAGGCCTGTGACTAAGGAGCTCAGTTCTAGGGCTCTGACTGGGGTGACTGTGCCCCCAGAGGACACCGGCAATGTCTGAGACAGTTTGCTTGCCTTGAGGAGATGGTGCTGCCGCATCCAGGTGCCGGGCAGAGGCCAGGCATGCTCCTCAACATCCCACGACACAGGGTTGCCTGGTTCCAAAAGTCAGCAGAGCCAAGGAATGAGGTGACTGGGGAGGG